CGGCAGGGGGGTTGGAACTAGATGATCTTAAGGTCCTTTCCAACCCTAATGATTCTATGATTCTATGAAATACAATATCTGATGAGTGCAAACTTAGGGAAGGAGGCAGCTTAGTTGTAAAACGGTTATCACTATGTAGGAAAGAGATCTTGAAAACACTGATACTTCTGTCAAAATGTCAGAGGAATGTTCAGCAGCTGTCAGAAAAAAGAAGGCAAAGGGAACGTTAGGTATTACAGGAGAGGAAGAGATAACAAAACTGAATCACTGAAAAGTGATTTAACTGATGGGGATACTTCCAAGTGGAAAGAAGGACAAGGGATATAATGGGGATACATAAAATTATAAATGTGATAGAAAGAGGGAAAGTGAGTAATTGTAATCTTCACTCTTCCTCGTAAGGTGAGAACTGGGAAGCATCAGGAAGTACATTTTCAGGCAATTATAATTAAACTGTGGAAGTCATTGCCACAGGATGTTATGGAAGCCAAAAGTGTAAAGGGAGTTCAAAAAGGGATTATACGAATTAATGGAAGAGGGACCCAGCAGAGATTATTAAATATGACATTCTGTCTGCAACCTCTGGCTTGGGAAGTCTCCATACAGATTGCCAAAGGGAGGAGGAGGCTAATACGGGAATGATCCTTTGTGCTTCATCTTTGCTAAGTATCTGCTATAGGTCCATGTCAGAGACAGGATGCTGGCAGAGCTGAAGCTTTGATATGGCCTGCTTTGTGTGTTCAATATTTTATTCTCAAATTCCTATTCTTAGTTTAATACAAAATGAGCTTTTTGCATGTCTAGTCGTGCAGCGTGCAGCCTTTTCCCTTTTACTCCTTTATCTGACAGTCCACCAGAAATTGTGTACCATTTGGGGTGTTTTTCGGTTGTGTTCACTACAGGTTGCTCTGGTTTGGTTGATGTTTTTTAAAGGTGGATAAGCACCAGTTTGCTCACTGCATAAGCTCATACAAAGTGTTTATTGGAAACTGTCACCTGAACCTCTTTGGCTAGTTAAAGACTGTGTTTGGCACTAAATTAGTTATTTTGGGAATGTTCTGTAAATCCGTGTGTCTTGCCAAAGTACTAGAAAGTTGTTTTCCTTTTCTGGATGTCTTCTCTATTGACCTTCCATTTCTGCTGGTAAATGGGGGTTTTGCTTATTTGATGTTTATAGCAGTATTTATATTGCACAAAATAGGAAAGTACGTTCAACCTCATATTTTAGAATTCTAACAGGATTCTATGATTCTATGATTTAAATCACAATGCTGGTATGGGTTATGTGTCTTTTAAAATGTTGGGAATTGACCATGAAAAATGAAATCTGAAAAGGGTCTTAACAAAAGCTTGTCTTTGTTCTAAAATTAGTTTCCAGGAAACAGACAATGCATGGCATGGTGGATGCCTGGCTCTGGCTGAATTAGGCAGAAGAGGATTGTTACTCCCTTCCCGAATTTCAGATGGTGAGTTGTAGTTGCTGAATGTGAGTAAGTTCATGAATTAACAATCTATAGTATTAGACATTGAATGTGTGGCACTAGACTGGAATTTGCTCATTTACTACTGACTGTAGTTTTGAATTCTAGAGTAAAGGAATATGCCTATGGGGATATTTGAGGTACTTCTGCAAAAGCATTGTCTTGGGTGTGCCTTTATATGCTTAATAAATTTTTCTTTCCAAAATGAAATTAGTTTCTTGGGGTTTTCTTCTTTCTTCCTCACTCCCATATTTCTCTGTGCAGTTGTATAAAAATAATACCGCATGTCTATATACTGTGTCAGTGTCATTATTTAAGTAGACTATATTAACTAATTGATGACTAACTTACACTTTAAAGTTAGTAACTTATGCTGTGTGTTTCTGTATAAATTTCAGAGGTCAATTTAGCGTAATTTATACATGAATGTGTAAGCTTTTAATGGTTTTTTGAAATACCAGGATGGAAAGAGAAATAACAGGGCAGAGGAGTTATTTCTTTGTGTGTTCTGTATCTATCAACATATATGGAAGTACAGAGATGTTTATGTGGAAGAAGTAGTTTTCTGTTTAGTGATTTTGGTCATTTTTCGGTAGAGTTGAAATGACAAAAACATAAATTAGCAGTATGCATCTGCTGTTGGGCACTTTTACAGCAGTATTTTGGGCTAGGTGGTTCTGATCTCATGTGGTAGTCCTGTGTTGACAGCAAAAGTTGAACTCTTAATTTTCAAAAATGTGTCAAAACTGGTGTTTCATCCTGGTAAGTCAGGTTTCCAGATCATTTGTATTCTGAAGATCTGCTGACTTGTTGTAGAGGGAACTGTAAAATACGGTATTTAATACAGTCTGTTATTCTGTCTCCATTGAACAAGTTCATGTCCAATACAGTATGTGGTTTGCATGTCGTAATTTTTGAGCAGCTAGCTGTCAGTTCGTCTTCCTTTTCCAATTACTTTTGTCCTTGTATGATAAAGATGAAACAGTTAAAAAGAAACTCTCTATTCTATCAAGGAATTGGAATAGCCTCCTGTAATAGACTTGTTTATATCTAAAGTGGATGTTCTGTGCAAGTTGGATGTTGTGTAGGACTACAGAGGACATGAGTGACTCCTGGCTCTGCCAGTGAATTGAGCTGTGCTGTGAAGCCATCTCTCTTCACTTTTTAGGTTGATTTTTTGTATTTGTAGAATGGGGATGATGGCTGTATCCTCCACACCCTTCTTTTTCTACAGAGAGGCAATGAAAATATATTGCTGCCTTGGAAGGTCATTTTAATATACATGGATTTATATGCAAATTTTTGTGAGAGTGCACAAGATGTAGCCTTCTATTACTGCTATGGTACTTCAACATTGGTGTATTAATATATTAATAATGGTGTAGTATTAGTATCCTTCTATTTAATATTGGTGTGGAAGAATTGAAAGGTGAGATAGGAGGGATCACAACCATGGCAGCGAGGCCTTTCTAGGAAGGAGATAAGTATAAAGGTCTAAAGAAAAATAATTTTACATAAACTGGAAGTTTCTTAATTAAATTGGGCTAAGAAATGCAACAATTATTGTCTAAGAAGATGGGTAAAGAATCTAGTCAGAGATTATCTTGGCTGAACTGCAGCTCCTTTGGTTTTCTGGTACTGAAGAGTTACACAGAGGCAAAAAGGTACGATACTGCAAACAATGAGTAAAAGAGGATAGTCTGAATTTGTAGATTAGAATTTGGAAAGACTTGGACATAAAATGGGATGCAGCTAGTGAAGAATATAACTGGTAACGACAAATAATGTATCTTCATCAGAGTCAAACCTTTATTATCATTGGGCAGATGGGCTGCAGAATAGCCATGCACACTTGACATGGTTCCTTTTGCCTTATTTTCCCTTTTGCTTTAATGGCCCTTTTTTTAATGGGCTTTTTTTTTTTTTTTTGCCTAGAAAAAAGTTTTTTCTCTTTGCTTTATCTCCTGCTATGGACAGTTTCATACATCACACTTTCTTACTGCCTTGCTGTTGTAATCTGAGGTAATCAGACTTTTTCTGTTATCTCAGATTGATATTCTTGGGTTTTGATACTCTAGGAAAAGCTTTGCTCTATGAAAGATGAAATTAAACATCAATGTTGTTATTCTTGTTTCTGACCTCAGAAACTTAACCCCTGTAATTTACTGTTTGATGAGAGACTTCCTACAATGCTCGGGCTAAGCTGTTAGCTCAAACCATCATAGCACAAAAAATTAAGAAAAACAAATACTCTGGGAACTCTGCATTGAATACAGCTCAGCTTCCTGACATGGGTTTATATCTACTTATAGTGTTTTGGCAGGTGAGGCAGTTTCTCACTTGAATAATGAATCATAAGAAATACATACCCATAGTTTTGAGGGAATAAGCCTGGGTTTGTTTTCCTTAGACTGAGAATTCCTACTGTGCAAATTTACATGGGGTGTGTATACAGTGGAACAGCCTGGGTTTGGTTAAACTTCTATAGAAACTTTGATAAGCTGGACAGCAGCTTTAAGGCAGAGGGAATTCTGAGGTTTGTCATTTGGAGCTAAATTACAGCTGAATTAATGTGCAGAATGAACCTCCTTCACTGAAGGAAGCTCCTTTTGTGGAGTTGATATTCCATGCCAAATTCTACTTGTACATTGAAAATTTAGCAATTTCTTTGCTAATTTTTCTTCAAGGTACGTGTTACAGATGGTGCAGTGAATGTATCTGTGCTCATTAATGACATGCCATATATTTGAAGTACAGCTCACAGATTTATTTGAAAAATTGCAAGTTTATACACACAGGTATAGAAGCAGAAAATAGTTTTAGGATGTACGTAGAAGCACACTGAGACTGATAATTAGAGATACATGTACACGGAAATAAGACCTTCACCAGAAAGAGTTTGCCTCAGGTGAAATAAATTATATAAATAACCTTTTAGGCTTGGAGTTTGAAAGTTGCCCAGTGTCTGTCTAACCTCAGAGGAAAATGAGGCACCTAAATTGTTTGGATCTTCAACTTTTCAGTAGTGTTTTCAGAGCAGCTCAGTTAAAGATGAACATAAACTGTGTTTGTTAGATTGGTGCAGGCTTTCCTTGGTTGAACTTAAATCTTTTTCTTAGGCGACATCAGCAAAGCTTGCTTATGCAAGGTTTGGATCAGTTTGCTTAAACTGGCGTCTGCCTCTGAGTAGCAAAATTTGGTCTGGTGTTTTGTATTGTGGCATAATGGGAAAATGCATTCATACACAAACCAGTTTTTATAGTAAATTCTAAAGAGCCAGGTTTAATCTTAAGCTTATTTAAACTACTGCACCATGACATAAAGTTTTTCAAAGAAAAAGAGACAAAAAACCCAACCCCATTAAATGAAATTCAGCCTGAAAAAGACTGTGACAGTATGTTATTGAACAGTATTGTTTCTAGAGCTTAAACATCTTTTAAGAAAACAAATTGTAAAATTTATTTTACATTAATACAATTGCAAAACCCCTTAAAGATTCATCTGATGTACTTTGGCTTTAGTAATGAATGCAAAAATTCACTCATCAAAATCTGAGCTTATACAAGGGAAGGTTGTTACTTAAAAATATTAATATAAAATTATGAACATTATTTACATGGGAGGGATTGAATGTATTTTGTCATGGAACCAAACCCAGTAAGAGGTGGTTTGTAGAAATTAAGTGGTGTTGCTGGTAACTAGCTCCTATGACTCATTGGAAAGTGAAGTATTAAGATACTCTTGTTCTCTTCCTTAAAGTGAAGACTCTGCTACAGTCATTTGGCCTTACTCTTTTAGTGCCTTGCTGTGATTTTGCTGATTCTTTTTGGTTTGTCCTTTTTTGTCCTTTTACTTTTTGATTGCACTGAGTATCCTGAGTATCAGAAGAATTGAGAGGAGCTTCTGTACAAGAAGCATTACTGTCCTGAGGACTTTGCCCTTCATTGTCCAGTCTAACTTTGCCTGGGCTGTATGCAGCTAGCTGACAGAGAGCTACAGCTGCTGTTTGTTTCTGTTCATCACAGCTGTCAATTATTCTTAAGTCTTGAGCTTCATTACGGTGAGCTGCAAAAGGTTTATCACAGGCACTGTTAGTAGGGTTCTTGGGGCTACATGCTTCTGCTCCGGAGGTTTCCTTTTCATTGCTTGGAGAAGTAGCAGCACCATTATCATGGGATGGACTGTGGAATGATGTTTTCAGGCTTACTGTGTTACAGGAATCTTTTACTGAGAGGTTCAGAGGCATGTCTTGCAACTCCAGAAAGCTGTGACTTTCTGTTTTGGATGTGGTTTTGTATGTAGGCTCATGCGTAGGTCCTGTGTTTGCATCAGCCTTTTTGGAAAGATTAAGAGGAGCTATCCCTGTGTCTTCCTCTGTGTTGGACAGTGAGCCTTCGTTGTTCTGGCATTCGTTCTGTGCATGTGAATCTTCATCAGTGACGTTAATGCTGAAAGAAAAGAGAATTCACTATCAGTTACTCTTCTAAATTGGGGCTGAGAAAGGGGGCAGGAAGAAGAGAAAACAATCTGGGCTGGGAGTCTGACAATTTTGCTGTTTCTCCTTTAACTCCCCCAAGTCCCTTGCACCATACACATCATTGGTTGCAGGTAATTCCCTGAAATACACAAACACATGCATAGTAATCGTATGGGAAATACCTGATACACTTAGGGAGAATGAGTGGTCTGCTCACTATAGCAACTGGGAGCTGTACTGTGTTTTGCACTGTCAATATAAAACAAATTACCTCAATGACTTAAATTTAAATATATTTTAGGGGCATTGCATGAAATGTTTCCATTGATGTTTGTGTGTCCCTTGTGTGTAAATCTGACACGGATTTGCAAAGTGATTTTTATTATTTTACCTGGTAGGTGAATCTCCTCTCTCTTGCTGCGTCTGCACACTTTGGAGTGGAGTTGGTTGATCAGTGCTTTTCCTCACAGGTCGGAAAGCTGTGAGGTTTTCTTCTGGTTGGTCGTACTTGCCAAGCGATGTGGAAGATGACTTGTTAGAGAGATCAAACAAGCCTTCGCATACATGGCTTGTCTGAGTGAAGTTGGTTGGGCTAGGTCTGCCAGGGGAGCCTGTGGCCGCACTTCCTGCAAGAGGGCTCATTTTGGCATTCTCTCTTTCGTTCTGGTCATCTTTGGAATTACTTTTGGCATGCAATAATGTCATTTCTTTTTCATAATCTGCTTGTTTTTTATGCGAATTTAGAGGGTATTGTTGGGATGGGCTTAAAGAAGCTGGATATAGTAAGGTAGTTTCTTCCATTAGATGAGAATTTTGATCTCTGTTAATACCAGCTACATGTGAAAATCTGTAAAATGCAGGATCTGTTGGCCTACAAAATCCATATGGTATCGGAGGAGTGGAATGATATTGTTGGAACAGTCGATAGTGTTCATATGCTGATGGATTTATGGGTTTTGGAAGTGGTCCTGGGTGTGGAAGAAAGTGTCTTTGATCTTGTGTGCCATAGACAGACAGAGCAGAGCTTTCACACTCTGAATTACTTGGAAGCAAGTATGGTGTGTAGATAGCCAGCCTATGCTCATAAAAATGGGGTGAGTACTCAGGAATCATCGGTTGCATATAAGGTGAAATGGAACCAAAGCCTTTTGTCGGAGCAACTTTATGTGGAAACTCTGGGAGGAAAGGAGAACCTGCTTTCCATGGGTGACCTGGTGTATGAAATGCAGACTTAGTGTGAAAAGGTGAATTTTTGTTAGAGAGTGATAGGATTTCAGATACTTCACTGGTTTCCGGGCCTTTGCTATCTCTGTGTTCTCCTACAGGAACGAAAGCCGAGGGCCTGCCAATGCTGTCCAAAAGGGGCTGCATGCTGATAGCGCTTTCTGCTGTAGTACTGGCAGGGGTTAATTCCTTCTGAATCACAGGTTTTTGTCCTTGTATTGCTGTGTTTGTTGCCTGGTTTTGTAATTCAACATTTTCCTTGGCATCTTCTTTTGGAAAAGGATATTGAGGCTTTGAATCGAGGTTTGCCAGTCCATTTGTGACAGCTTTAGAAGAAGTTGGTTTGACTGTAGATTCAAGCTGATTGATCTGTTTGGGCTCCAAGGAACTGGTCTTCGGACACTTGATAACACGATCCTGCTCTGATACTAAAGTAATTGAGTTTTTGCAGAGGCCATATTTCATATGGTTAAAAAGATGAGATTTCTCATTGCAAGTGAAGGGACACTGGAAGCACTTGTACTTAAATGGCTTTCCTGGTGGTCTTGGGATGTAGTGAGGCTTCTTTGGTTTACGTTCTTTGAGAAGACTCATTTTGTTCTCTGCTTGAAACAATTAAATGTAATGGTTCTTTAGAAAAACTTTCTTGTGGTTAGCTCGCCACAGTTCTAGCCTCTTGATGTTTCCAGTTTTTCTGGTTTCTAGAATCCTTCTTCCAGGTGAAGAGAGGAAGCCAACTCCTGTGGTGTCTCAGGGAAGACGGGGTGCCGGAAGCCAATACTTCTGCAACTGGTAGTGCAGGAACTGTAACATAAAGTTTAAAATTAGTGGAACATTGGAAGTAAAAACAAAGTAATGCATTCTTTTACCTGGATTCCCCCTCATATCACATATGGTGTGTTGTGGCCTTCTAAAAAAAAACAACAAACAACAAAGGTGCAAAAACCAAACCAAACAAAACCAACCCCCCAAAACAGGCAAAAACCCCAAACAAACAAATAGAAAAAGGGACAACTCTTCCACTCCCCCAAATTCCCCATCCCTGGCATCCTGGCAATGTTCAAGGCCAGGTTGGACGAGGCTTGGAGCAAGCTGCCCCAGTGGAAGGTATCTCTGCCCATGGCAGGGGGTTGGAACTGGATGAGTTTTTAAAGATCCCTTCCAACCCAAACCATTGTATGATTCTATGCAAAGTGCTAGCTGCGATACTTGAGATAGACACTCATTAAACTTTGACATCCTTCCACACCTCAGCACAGTCCCAGAGGTGGCCTAGTTTTCAGCACTGCTCAGCACCTGCCACTGCTCGCGGCTTGGAGGGGTTTTCTTTGAAAACTGAAGGAGCATTTATTCAGAAGATGAAAGTAGAAGTCTAGGTGGAGCTGTTGAGAGAGAAGTGGAGGTGGGCAGAATGAGAAGAGGCAGGTCCTGGCAGCAGCTGGATATGGGGCAAGCCAGTCAGGCCGGTTGGGGAGAGAGCAGAGGGAATTTCCGGCTTTGGCGCAAGGAGGGTGGAGAGGATTGGGTGCACATGGGTAGTAGCTGACTTGGCTCTTTAAGAGAGTGACCAACCCCCTCTTTTACCTGTCATGGCATTTCCTAACAGCCTAATCTCAGTGGATACCTCAAAAGTGGCCAATCTCTCGAAGGATAAAACCACACCAATTTTCTTCCTCTTCCTAATTCAATTAAGAGAAACGAGTACTGCAATATCTGACTAATGGAATCTTCTGCTTGATAAACACATTTCGCATTCCTCTGCTGCGTAGCACCTTACATACTGCATATACTTAACACAGACACAAGCGTAGTAATTCAGGTAAAAAAAGTCTGACAGTAATTGATTTATAGGGGAATGAGGCATCTGCCTTTCTTCAGAAAAACTAAGGTTGTGGATACTTTACGCAGCCTAATGATTTGCTCAGTAGATAAGTCAGGAGGGCTTGTATCAGCTTGTTCCATTATGTTCACTGATTCTGAAGGCGTGAGAAACTCTGAGAGTCAAGTTCTCATGATTTTATAGGATGTGTTATGGCAGAGATCTAAAAACTGATGATTTCATCATGAACTATAAGCATCATTATCAAAATGATGACTGTTGCAAAACCACGTACTGTATCTATTGTGTTACCCGAAACTACAGGAATACTAATTGTAAGAGTGACTAGATAGCTTGATATTTTTTATTTTTTTATAAAAAGAAGGTTTTTTACATAGAAGTATGAATTAGTAGTAGTATGAAAATATGAAGTTTATGAAAAGAATTCCTGGTAATTACATGCTGTGAGATTTGAGTTAAAAGCGGAGTTGTTTTGCATTTCTTAAGTCAGATTATTTAATAGAAAATGACATGCAATACATTATGAAAACTGAAGGCAAAGCTACAGAATTGCTGCTTGTTTCATCAGGTATAGTAATTCTAGCAATTTGTATTAAATGTTGTTTCTGATGTCATAGAAATACTAATTCTGTTAAAATAGTGATTGTGAAGGCACCCTGAAAACTACAAAGCTGTTCTGGAAGTAGAAAAAACAATCAAGCTTTTTCTTGGAATTAACAAATGATTAAATGTGCTATAGCCTAAAGAAAAAGGAATATGTAGAGAAGTAACTTCTTATTTTTCAGGTTTTAGGAAAGCTTTTTTTGTTATTTGAGCTGGATACGGGTACCATAACAATGAGAAAACCTGGAATTACTGAGCAACATGTTAAACTCTTGGAATCTGGTTAAGGTGGTTGAATAAATTAAAGACTCCATATCGTCTTTAAAAAATATTTTAAATAATGATAGGCAGGATTCCTTTGAAAGATTAATACTTTAAAAATAAAAATAAATTAAAATATTGAGGTGGAGGAGGGGAGGTCCAGAGAGGGAACTGCTCTTTTTTCACTCCCTTGTGTGTGCTTGTTGTATTTATTTTTGGCTAATGATGTATAACTAACGTGGACAGTTTGTAATGGGCTCAGTCAAGTTGGTTTGTACCTGTTGTTCTTTATACCTGCTTGGAAGTACTTGTACTAATTATTCATGAAAAAAAGGATACTGTTGTCAAAACTCCATTGCATTCTTAGGTGAACCATTTATGATAACAGTTCAAATTTGCATTCAGGTGCAGCTCTTATAATAAAAGAGATGTTAATGAGGTTTTCTTGTTCTGCTGGCTTTCCTTTGCTTAATAATGAAAATTCCTGTGTGTCCTGTTCCCCCCCCCCCGACTTTGTACTTGGTATTTAACTTTGAGTCAAGTTATTCCTGTTCAACAGAGTATTAACTATCATTTCTTAATAAGAGAAAATGCATTGCTGCAGTTTTTAATTGTAGAAATTCAGAGCATTGGTGCTGCTTTGCCATGGGTCCGGCAAGAGAGAATTCCAACAGGGGTTTTTAGTCATTTTTGCCTTCATTTTGATGCAGACAGTAGAGCTCGAGAATCTGCCGCTCTGACTCGAGAGGTGTAGAACGAGTAGCTTATTTAGAGGGTGTTTACCCATTTGTAAACCTAGGCTAGTGCCAGCCAGACGAATGTGCTGCTTCTCTTTTTTAACTATTTAATCCCTTATTTTTTTCTCATGGTTTAAAAATGCCAGTAATAAAATATTTCCTAGCCCAGACGAGAAGGATAATTTCTCTTACAATCTAAATAAAACACAGGAGCATCTGGCAGAGGTACATATTTCATAATTAAAAAAGAAATTAAAACAGTTTGATCCCACACATACAGCTGGAAAATAAATTAATGGTTTAAAATAGGTGCCACCAATTAAAGCTGTCTCTATATAAATAATGTTACAATGTCTGTTTTGTGCTACCAAAATTAATATCTAGTATTAGACAGGAAAATCACATTAAGTAGAGGCTTTTTTTCTTAAACTTGAATGGCATAACTTGTGATAGCCTTTAAAAATGGGAAAAGATTCTTCGGTAGTAGGATGATCATTTTCTTGTGTATTTTTTATTTTTAGCTTGAGAATTCATTTCCTTATACCTGATTTTAGAAATGCAGACAGTAATATATTATTGCAATTCTATCTCTCTAGTTTTGAAATATAGTGGTGTTATTTCTTTTGTGGTTTTATTGAGAACAGGTCATTCAAATAATATTGCTTAAACTTGAGGCTGTCTTAGCTCTTTGGCTCTTGTCACCACTGTACTTCCTCACGGCTGTCTTGTCTGTAGCATTTTCCAACCTCAGACTGAGAGCTGAAAGTTTTCTTCCATGTGTTTTTAAAAGCATGTTGTTGCTACCTCCTTCCCTTTAACATATTCACAAGTTCAGAAAACAAGAATGCCTGTGTGTGTATAAATATATAAACAAGAATGTAAGTGGGTATAAGTATACAAGCACATGCACACATATGTATTCATATACACGCACACACACATATATGTACATATATATATGTGCATGTTGTTTTTTAGGTTTTTAAGTAGTCTAAATTGTTTAAGATGCCCAGTTGATCAAAGAGGAAATTTCAGAATGTCTTTTATTACAAGCAGGGATGGTAATTATATTTCTTTTTAGGACACTGCTTTAGCAAACTACGTAACAGTTTGTCATGCACACTCCATTATTATTGCAGTATCCTTTTGGTGATGTTGATCTCTCTGACCAGGAGTACTCACTGGGGTGGAACATTCTGAAGGACATACTATAATTAAAATATTGTGATGTGGCATTATTGCATAACTCAAGGACATGCCATTGTCACCTACCTAGCGTGTTGCAAGAACAAGATTTGTGAGTTTTATTCTAGCTGAGATTTTCCAGTGATTAACTACCACTCCCTTCTAAACTTCCAGTTCCTTTAAACTAAAACTAAAAGATAAATTTTAACGCAACTGGTTGTTGATGAGGAGGAAATCTGGGTGAGAGGAGTGGGTTGGTGAGGACTAGAAGGGAAGTGTGTGGTGAAGGTATGGACCGAAGAGGGCTGCGTGCTTGTGTGTGGGTGTGCGCATGGTCTGGGTCTGTGTGTGTGTGAGCGAGCGCAGAAAGAGACTAAATACGTTGGTTAGGCAGCGTGGATAAATAAGAAATAAAAATCTTTGTCAATATTAAGTTAATAATTCAGTATCTTAATACACTTTAATTAATTAGAGAGAGGATAACTCTAAACTCTAATCTAATTTTCTGTGCTTAATTCCCAAGAAAATAATAAATCAAACCTGGACTACTTTATTTTCAGACAATCATTTCAGGTTCACCTGACCCTAATGTGTGAAGGATATTTGGCAGACTAAACACAGGAGTTTTAAGCAGTACAGCTTCGTGTCATACTTCAGTATTATACAGCAACTTCCTCTGAAAAAAGGTGCTTAAAACACTTTTCACCAACAGGAGTTAATTATTGTAAAAACTCACAAGAGTTAGTTCATCTCTCAAGCTAAAATACTCCCCTCTCCAGAGTTTCTGCTGAAAGTTTAAACTGGTGCAGTAAATGCACCTGCTAGGAGTAACCCAGGCTTTTGAGACAGCTGAAAAATGATCACCTCTGGTTTACTTTTTTAGCTGTTAGCGCAAACACACTTTATTTGAACAACAGAAAAATACTCGAAAGAAATGTACTTACCAGCTACACAGATGTTGGAAACCTCCAAGGTGCTCGCTGTTGGTAAGCTGGAGCTGTCACTGCTGAGAGAGAAGTACCTGTTCTCTGCTTGATCTCTAAGTGAAACTGCAGGAGGTTGTTTCAGGGGGAGGGACTTAAGAAGTGTAGGAGTTGAGCCCTCAGGGTGTAGAGATGCACCTGATATTACTCCAGCCCGAAGCTACGATTCATTTGTTTGCGTCCACTGCTTTCATTCAGCATTACCTCAGCATCTAAGCTATCGAAGAGAGCTCTTGTTGCTTTTGTGCCCTCCAACAACCAAGTTTTACTCTAAACTGTAGTGTCTGTTCTTCTTAGTGGCAGCCTGCAATGTGGGGTCAAAAATGGCTTAGGTAACATACTGAGCTTTTGATATATTTCACTTTCATGGAAGGGGCTCATGAGCAGCAGAATTGACTGTACAGAGAGGTAGCAAAGCTTAAAAATGCTTAAACTCTTTTTTGTTGGAGACGGACATTTTTGATTGAATGCCTTTGTAGCTTTAATATTCTTGCTCTTTTTCTTCCTCCCCCTCTCCATTTTTATTTAAATCTTTTTGTCCTTCATGAGTCTCCTTTCTGAAGGCGGGACTGAACTAACTCCAAGCTTGCTTGCCACAGGAACCTGCCAAAGCTTGCCTATAATCAACAGTCAAATGTACAGATCCTGTAACTGGGAAGGAGTCACCCCACTGAGAAATCGATTATCATGTCTACATGTTTACTTAGGAGCTGTGACATTCAGTGGTGAAAGAAGGAAGGCAACCGATCATCCACTGATTACTGCTAATACTTGCTTTTAGTTGCTTTTTAGTTAGAATTTATAAGTGACATATTTCTTAGTGGATTTGCCTCGTGACAGTGCTGAATTGTGTGGTGAAATAATAACCTTCTGCATACGGGCTGCTAAAAGGAAAATATTCTGATAGTTCTCTCTCTAAAAACCATTCCTGTTGCTGTATATAAAAGCAAAGGGGGGTTGGCTGTTAGTTCTAACGCTACTGGGAAGTTAAAATCCCTACTCAGAACCGTTCAGTTCAGCTGGATGAACATGACAGCCCTCTTGTTTAATCTGCAGCTCTGTAGATAAAGACAGCTGCAGATTGATGAAACTTTTCAATATAGAAGTATGATGAATTTTGTAGTTGGCAGAAGTGTTGTCTCCAAGTGAAAATTAGGGATGTTGTCCCTACAGAACCTGTTTAGGCAGCGGGTGAAAGTTGTTTCAAAATCAGTCTCTAAAGCAGTGTCTGAAAAATAATCTTAATGATGTGGCCTTTATTTGGTGGGATGACTTGTATGGACATGTACTTGCCTATGTAGGTACGCAGACCACTGTCCTTCCTCTTGCAATGGCAATGCTATTTCCAGTTCTGGAACATTTTCCTGCATATCATTAATTCACATATCGCCAAGCAATCCCTAGTTGTAAGGTAGAAGGGTGGCTTGCTTATTTATGTATGTATGTATTTATTTATTTATTTATTTATTTTATTAAGTTGCAATAACACACCTTAGCAGTGTTATAAACCCCATAAAACATAAAAAAACATAAAAAGATGTCATCTTACTGTCTAGCTGTCCTTTGGCTTTAGAGGAAATAATAGCAAGAGTGTAAGTCCATCATTCTTCCATTTAGTTGTAAAATGTTTTGAGGCAAAGTAGTATGTCTGCAGAGAAAATGCTGCCTGCAGAGAAAGATCCTGTAATGTCTGCATTCTCTGAAAGGTCCTAAGGAGAAAGGTCCTTTGCTGTCTCAATAGAAGATGTTATTCAGTAGTCCTCGCTCAGTAGCGAACAGCCTTTCTTCCCTGTCTGTAGCTTTCTGTGCCATAGCAATCTACATAACTGTCTTCATGTTTTTTTCTGCAAATGTCAATCATTTTATGTTGTCTGTAGCTGAAGGAAGGCACCATCAGGTTTGTTTTTTGCATGTGATGGGGTGGAGGTAGTTTCCTTGAGTTAGATCAGATTTTTTTTTGTTTAAAAGAAAATTGCAATTTCTGTCTGTTGAAGGACTCCTTTCACGTAGGTGACTGAACTGTGGTAAGAGGCAGTCAGTATCTGAACTTTGATTTTGTGTTAATCCGCCTTCTCCCTATCCCCTTTCCCTGGTCTGGTATGTGAAGGGGAGACATTATGTCCAGTTGCTGCCTTGACCCAAGGAAAAGAACGTTTGAAATGTAGCTACTTCCTGGAAGTTGCTGTTGTTAGGTCAGCCAAAATCAGCTGTGGGCAAAGTAGAACTGGGAAAAGAAAGAACAGCTCATGTAAATGCTTCTTTTCTTGGGACTTGCATGGTATAACAAAATCCAGATCAGGGGAGAAAGACTCATTGGTGGACCCCAGAAAAGGAATGCGAGAGCTCCTGTTTGTGTATGCTTCTAAAAGTAATAAAGCCTGATTGCAGTGGTGGTGTTTCATCGCGTATTTTTGTTACTCATTATACTTGCATCCGGAGGATTAGATAAACTGAACCCAGTCATCTGTTGGGAGCACCCTTTTTAGTCTGTCTGAGCACAAGTCAGATTAACTCAGAACACCGGGACTGACACAGTAAAACTTGGATTTATTGATATTTTTCTCTCGTGTTGCCTTTTTAAAGATATGATTATTTTTGTATCTCTGGAGGGCAGAAGCTTTAATTTTCTATCTTCTTTGGTGTGGAATATCATTCTTCCTTCTGAGTTCTGTTTAAAATTCGGTATTAAATACATGTTGTTTCACTGCAGTTGGGTTTCATAGCTTTAATTACTGTAGCATAAACCTGCCATTCTATAAATGTTACAAACTTCCTTCTTCATGTTTTTATATGTTTTTTTGGCTCAGCTTTAGTACTGAAAACAAAATGTCCCTAGCAGAAACCATACATATCAATGGGATAAACCTAACCTATTCTTGATACGCTGCTTACCTAAGTTTTATTTTCCTATTGCTCTTCAAAATTCCATTCCCTAGGTGTATGAAAGAGTGCCAAGTGTTGCTGTGGTCAGTTATCAACCCTCCGTTAATCAGATAATTCTGAGTGTTCTGCTCTAACGCAAAGAGTGGCCCTGGTGACCAAGTTGTTTGGCTGTTTTGGCTTTAGCTGCTGTCAGGACTCTGTAACCAGCTTTCAGAGGGTGTCCTCTGCCTGTCAGTCATCACCAGTGTTTGTCTCTTTCTAGAGATGCCTTACAGATTCTAGAACTGTGTCGTTATTCCAAGAAAGAAGAATGATCATAAATAAATGTGAATAATCTCCTGTAGCTGATCACTGATAGACATGGTGAAGCTTAGCTTGCCATAAAAAGGAAACCTCTTAGAATTGTGTCACTGGCGATACTCACTTCTGTCCTTGTCACCTTTGGTATCTAGATGTGTGGCTTTGAGCTAAGTGTTCCCAAAAGTCCTTGTTTTCTTTTTGTGATCACTTGAACTGCAATTATCCACAGCTTTTGCTATCTGTATTAGCATGTTTGGACTAGGTTATTCCATACCATTCCCAGAAGGGGGCAAATGTATTTGAACATAATTGTTGTAACTCATGCTGTGCCCTAAACCATTACATGATTCTTGTACAATATTCTCATAATTATTTTCTTCTATCCCATATGAATAGTTATTAGTCTTAATGCTTTTCAAATAACACCTTTGAAATACACCTTTGTTTTCATACCGATTCTAGTCCCTGACTTTGGAGATATGTCTGGGCAGATTACCTTGCTGATGTTTGTCAGCCACTTATTCATGATTACAAGAGCAAATTATTTGTATGGGAAATGAATAAAAGCTCAGCAGTTAATAGCAACTGCAGATCATGTTTTCAGATATTATTGTGGCCTGTACTGTTAGTGTTTGGCCTGGAACTAGGGTGATCTTCCTTCTGGTTCCCATCCTCCCCCTTGGGCAGTGAAATGTCTTGGGGGAAGTCAGTAACATCAGAAGTTGAGACTGTAGGCAAAACTGTGAGCTGTTTATAAGGAGGGGGTGTTAATAATCATTCTTTTAATTGCCAGTAATTCTAACAGAGATGCAAAAATGTACCTTCAGTTTCTGCTTGATGCTCTGGTTATAATTGCCTTTTAAGAGTCACTATTTTCAAAGTGTTTTTCATGCAGAATGTTTTTTCCTTTTCTGCTTTGATTTTAAGACTTGCACCAGAGATTCTGAGACAGTTTGCTCACCTACATGAATTTTTCCTCATAGAATCCTGTAGAAGGACCTGAATTGTGCCATGTGCAGTTCAAGTATATATGAAGTCAGTCCTCCACATTGTTCTTTGAGGCATAATTGGTGGTGTGCTGCAGTGAGGCCACTCTCACAGAGGGAGCAGTGAGGTGTCTAATGAATACTCCTAGCCTCAAAATAATTTTAGCTTTCATTTATTCTTTAAAATATATCACGTTTTATAAAGCTTTGTATGATTATGTTGTCTACGATATCAGTACATTTTAAAAGTGGGGAATATAAAGCAGTAAGTGAAAGATTTATTCCATTCCATTTTAAAAATACTAATGCTGCAGTTCTTGAACTGTTGTGTTTTTAATTTGGAAGTTACACGTTTCCATTTAGCCGTAAGGTTTCAGTTGTTAGGATGGATGATGCAGCTAAATTTGCATGTAGGGATTTTTTATTTATTATTTTATTTCTTTTTCTTCAGCAAAATGGGCAGAAGTCATTGAAAATCTGATGATCTGATAATGTATGTGTGTGAATTTCTACATTTGGGATCACAGTGCCCCTAAATAAAACATTTCTTACTCTACAGCATATGTTAAGGCCAAAACCTTACATTTCAGTGTGGTTTCAGTATGATTTCACATCTTTTGTCTTCTGCTGTATTTGTGGTTTTGTAGGCTTCAGACTATTATTTATAGGGGTTTTTTATTTAATTGGGTGGGGATAAATACTAAACAAACAAGAGAATCCTCGTTTACTTGAATTTCTGGTTTGCTTGTGAAAGGACGTTATTAAAATTTCTCTTGATGACAGCATAGTATAAACTTTCTAGCTAATAAGGTGTGTCATCTATAGGAACATGAAACTTCCTAGGCGTTCTTAATATGTCCGTGGTGAGATTAAAAGTGTTCTGGGCTTAAACTCTCTCAACAGCTTGCTGACCACTGAATAGTCGCAGCTGTGTCTGCTAAATGCCTCTGCTTACAGCCAGAGAAGGTCTCTTAAATGAAATCAGTGGTAGCACTGTTAATGTTTCATGGGCAAGGG